TGTGTGTGTGTGTGTGTGTGTGTGTGTGTGTGTGTGTATTTTGGCAAGTGGCCTCACCTTTTCTGAGTCTCCATGTTGTTTGTTAGTTGTTTTATGTGAAGTGGGGATAATAAACTGGTTGAATTAAATAAGGCCACCACCCCCGCTCCTCTGCCTTTTCCTCTGCAAACACCTTGGCTGCTGGGCCTGAACCCTGACTCACTCCTCAGCATGCAGACGCCTCCTCGGGAGGCCTTCCCGGCTGCTTCCTGGCCCTTACCCAGCACCAATCAACACCCATAGTGCACCACCTGCCTGCTGAGCACACTCATGCTGATTTCAGTCCCAGGGGTGGGTTCAGGGTCATTCCCACTTTACAAGTGTGAAAGCCAGGCACAGAGCAGTGAAAATAACTAGCCCGAGGTCACCCAGCTAGTAATGGGGCGGAACCAGGACTTGGCCCAGGGAGGCCTTTTCCCAGTGAATGCTCCTCACCACTTGGCTAGAAGCCCCGCCACTTGGCTAGACTTCCCCTTGCATCCAAAGCCAGGCCTCCTGCAGTCATGACTTAAGTCTGCCCTCAGACAATGCACCCACGTGAGGACTGTCCTCCTTAGTCCCTCAAAGGCACTAAGCAGACCTCATGGAACAGAAGTGGCACCAGGGTGGCTCCAGCTGGTGTCTCTTCTCTTCCCGGGTGCCCTTTGCGGTGGGTGATCCCTCCCTACTCTCACCTGCTCCTGCCCCAGGTGTGGGTGCTTCCCCTGGCCTGGGGAGGCTCACCACCCTGCCCGAGCCCTCGCCCACATCCCCAGGACTCACGGGGTTCAGGAACGGAGGCTGCGAGCCATCGTGGGAAGCCATCACTCCCTGCCTCGGGACCACTGCCGCTCTCCTCACTGGCCGGCTGGACCTCTGCACAAAGGCAGGACTTCTCCAAGAAAGAGAAACAGAAACCTAAGCAACTCAGCAGATAGCCACGGGGCAGGGGAGGAGCCAGGCACACAAGAGGAAATGGGTCCCAGAGAGAAAGAGAGAGAGAGACCTCGGGCAGAGGCTCTGGTGGACCCAGTGATGGCCTTCTGTTTGCTTCCAACATCAGCCAGGAGGAGAGCTCGGGTGGCGATGGACACCTCATTGCTGTAAGGGCTATTTTCCGACGCTAAGTCTCTGGAAGAGGGAAGTGGTCCCTCCCAACCTCAGCCATTTTTTGCTCCTCTCGAAGACATGGCACACCCCCCCCCACGGGAATACAATCTTATGTGACACCTGTAGGTTCCCAGGAGGCAGACCCCATCCACAGGTGGGCTTGTCCAGAGAGCACTGGCCTTCTGCTCCGGGCGGGGTCCCAAACCCACGGCCAGGGAGTCCATTCTGACCCATAGCGACCTTAGAGGGCAGGGTCGAACTGCCCCTGCGGGTTTCCAAGACTGCCCCTCTTTACGGGAGTAGAAAGCCTCATCTTTCTCCTGATGGGCAGTTGGGGGTCTCCAATTGCCAGTCTTGAGGTGAGCGGTCCAGCACTTACCCGGCAGCACCATCAGAGATGGTACAGTGTCCAGACAAAAAAGCAGGGCAGCTGAAAAGGGCCCTGGTGGCCGAGCGTTGCCCCTGCTCACACCCCTGCAGCTACCACCGCCACCCTAGGTGGGTCGGTCAAGTCTGGTGGTACCCATTTTACACACAGAGAAACTGAGTTGCAAAGAGCCTGATAGACATGTCCGCAGTCGCACCGCTTGAACCCACTGGTTAATGTGCTCAGCTGAGAACTGACATGTTGGGGTCTCGGGTCCACCCAGAGGGACCTTGAAAGAAAAGCCAGGCCACCTGCTCCCCCCAAATCCAACCTCGGAACACCCCATGGGCCCCAGTTCCCCCTCTGACACTCAGCAACAGGTCGTGGCCCAGCGGGTGAGGGTTCTTAGGCTCTCAGGAAAATCATTTCTCCCTTTTGAAATTTGTTTCGTGTTAAAAAAAAAAGGCAGGCACTCTCATGTCCATTGAGTCAATACTGTCTCATAGTGACCCTGTTAATTGCAGATGAAACTGAAGTTGTCAGGGGTTTCACGATCCACAATCCACGCTCCTGGAGCAGCGGGCAGGGCATCAAAGGAGGGATTGCACTGAACAAATCTGCTGCCCACACCTCTTCAGAGTGTTGAAGGGCAAGGAGGTCACTTGGAGGACTGAGGCGCGCCTACCCAAGCCAGGGTGTTTTCGATGGCCCATGCCTGTGGAAACTGGACGATGCAGAAAGAAGGGCACAGAGAAGCGATGCCTAGAGTTCCCGTGTTGGTGAGGAATGCGGACTGCCAGGAGAACAAACACGCCGCCCCGAGGATGTGCGCTCTCTCCAAACGCCACTTCGACTTCGACGTGCAGCTGGCAGGACTTTGCACGTGCGAGCTATCGGGAGAGCCAAGTCTGCCTGGTCCCACAGGCTCTTCCAGAATCTTGCTCCTCCCCACGGACGAAGCCCTTTCCTCCTCTCCCTGAGCCTGGGTGGGATCTTTGCGTGAATAGAATGTGTGGCAACAATGCTGAGGGACTTCCGAGGCTACATGGGGACAGCAACCTCACGGCCATGGGCTTCCTGCATGAAATCCATGCACGCCACTGAGCCGGGCCAGGCGGCAAGGCCTTTAGCAGGTGTTCCAGCAAACAGCGCCGCTGGGTTCTTAGCCAAGAGCCGGCATCCAGTAGACACATGAGTGAGCAAGCCTAGGATGGCACCAGCGCCCTCCTCCAAGCCACCCCAGTGAACGCCAAGTGGAGCAAGGGTGACCTGTCCCCACCAAGCTCTGCTCAAGGGCCAGGTTTGTGAGCAGACTACAAGGCAGCTTTACAAAGTTCTGGGAACATTCTTTTACCTCTATCTATTTATTCGTTCCTGGAAAGGCTTTATAGTTATGGGGGACGGGGGTCCACAGTCTCCTCCAGGTGGCCAGCACATTGCTCAGCTGCCTCTTGGCTGGGATGTGCATCCCCACCCCCACCCTCTTCCTAATGAGCATTGACTGGTCCCTGAAGCCCTGAGGCAGCTCCATGGCTCGCTGCTGGCTCAGCCTGACTGGGCACGTCTCCCGGCATGATCCAGCACACGTGTGGCACGCTGTGGGAAACGGAAAGATTTCTCCCAAGTTGTCTCCCCCACATATATGCCAAACCCAAGACACTGTTTGCTATGCATCACATGGTAAATGACTGTCCACTGGGTCATTGAAAGTAGATCAGAGGTTATTCTCCTGAAGGGTATCTAGAGCAACCAGACTGTACTGTCTGACTCACCCTAAGTAGGCCCACTCCCTTCTGATAGTGTTCCCTTGAAGGAGAGCCCAAAGGCAAGCCCGGGACCACTCAAGGATGACTAAGGTTAGGCTACTATAAAGTCTCACGAGAGCTCTCTCCTGCCTTCTCATCCCCCACCTCCACGTGTGCCTCAAGAGGAACTGAGGTGAGCATGCTACCATGGATTGTGTCTGACTTCTTCATTTAACTCTCTCTCCCATCTCTCCCACTTCCCTGTGACTTTACTATGCTCTTTATATTTCTTAAACGAACAATTGAGCCTACCAAACCCAAGATTCGCTGTGAGGGGCCGGCTACCCCCACAGCACGCTGGGTGAGGTGCCCGTGGAGGGGGCTGTGCTGCAGCGGGCTCATCCGATGGCCCTTGTTGAGGCCCCGGGCCACAGGGCAGCGCACAGCCATGGCCGCTGTGTCCCAGGGCTTCTGTGGCCCTTTCCTTCCATTTCCCCACAAAC